TTACAACCAATGAGAAGGCAGAACAGAAAGACTATATTAAAGATAAACACACAGGAAGTAGGTCTCTTTTGGAGAGGTAGGAGCACCGCAGGAAGAAGGGTAAGGTTTTAGCTCTGAGCTCTGACCTCTTGGCTTTCTCTTTTACATTGGTTCTGTGTTTCTTATTTAATAAGACAGTTGGTTACATCTATAGGCGACCTTATAATATTCCCGTTGTGACAGAGTAGTGTCACTTTGTTCAAGACATAAGCTGCTGATGAAATTGCCTAAGACATCCACCCCACAACCGAGTCCTTACAGTCCTCTGAGTATCTTACCAGCATAAATGCTTTGCTGTGCTGCGTTTAAAAGAGGCTTTTAAAAGATTTGTTTATTTAATTTTATGTATATGAGTGTTTTCTAAATGTAGTGACCAGCATACATACAGTGCCCACAGAGGTCAGAAGTGGGCATCAGATCCCCTGGAAATGGACTTCCAGGCATGGGTGCTGGGAACAGAACTCCAGTCATCTTCAAGTACAGTAAGTGCTCTTAACTGCTGAGCATCTCTTCAGCCCTGTTTTGCCTCTTAATTTTCATTCCCTCCTCAGGCACTCTCTGTCTGCCTCTGTAGATCAACAGACATCTGTACGGCAGTGGACCAAAACTGCTCATACCAACAGCAGGTCGCCTCACAAGATAGGTCACCACGTTGAGGTCGCCCCCAGTTGAGAACTACTGTCCGCAGTGGCCAGGACATACCTTTGGGTAGAAGTGATCACTTCACGTCTAGATCCGGAGCTAAAATGATGATCGTTCAAACCAGGCCTTAAGCACCAGTGCCTGCTCTCTTCTGCGCACACCCTGAGCAGCTCCTGTTTCCTGCCCCTTAAGCTCACAAAGTTCCTGCTAGTCCTCTGGAGAGTCTTCAAGGTCATTTCTTCTACCCGAAGTAACCACACCTAGTCAGTCTTTCTGTGCGCGCCCCCACCACCCATCTCTTTGGTTGGCATATTTGGATGCTGGTAGAGCCAAGGCTTGACTCCTTCTTCGGAACTGGTAGCTCTAAGGCCTTAAACTCAAAGCCCGGGGGAACTCACCTGGGCAATGCCTATTTCTCCATAGGCCAGGGACACAGTGTGGTTGTAGGCACGCACGGTGACAAAGCGCACGTAGGAGACTTTGTTGGTGCCCCGGTGCTCATTCTTGGCTTCTACCTTAAAGGCCAGCAGGGATTTCTTGGTGCTGTGCAGCTCAGCCATGGTGTAGGAGCAGGTGCCCATCATGTCATAGCGACGGCCATCGAAGGTGGTGTAATGGGGATCACCCTGGGCGCGGCAGACAGCTGTGGACTCTGCCACACACCTGGCCTTCCCACTCACCATCTGGCAGCGCTGCCCGGATGTACACTGAATGCCTTGGCAGGAAGCCTCTGCTGGGGAGAGCCGAGCTGGGGAGGGAAGAGAGTTAGAAACAGAGTTAGAAATGTTCGTGAGGTCAGAAACCTGGGGTCCTCCTTCAGTGTGGACGATGGGCAGTTGGCTCACAGCCACCCATTTTACAGGTATAGAAACTGAGGTTTGCAGTCTCATGGAGAGGGATTCTCTGG